CCTTGAGTTCTCGTGTGCTGCTGCTGTGATCTTCTTTGTCCCCGTTCCCCACCTCCGTGTGTGTGTGTGTGTGTGTGTGTGTGTGTGTGTGTGTGGAGAGAGAGAGAGAGAGAGAGAGAGAGAGAGAGAGAGAGAGAGAGAGAAGGCACAGAGGTTTAAAAGTGACATTTATCCTTATTACATTTGATCATAGTGATAGCAACCTGTCAGAATATTACAGAACGAGCAGATTAGCTTTCCCTTCATGGAGGAAAGAGAGTACTCACCAGCTTATATAGCAGCACAGCTGAGCCCATGCTGATCCCTGGTCTCAAAGGCATTAGAACTTTCCTATCTGTGATTCATCTGCCACCCTGGAGAAATCTGTGTCTTTAGACTTACTGGGACCTCACTGTAAAACAGTAACAAATGTGAGAGGCCATTTCCTTCCCGAGGTTCCACAAAGACTTAGATGTGTACAAACCCAAAGTCAATGTTAACTCGGGTAGTATGGTATGAGAGGAGGAAAAATGGTGTATCAGGGTCTGAGCAACTTTCAGAAGATCTGTCTACCCTTATCACAGCATGTTACAGCTAGTGGGCATTCATTTGTGCAACTATTTTAAAGATATGACTGGGTTATCTGATTTGGTGTTACAACAACATTGTGTGGGGTTAATATAATTTTTGAATAAAATTATTGGCTGTCTGACTAAATGCCATAAGGCCTTTCTTCTTTACAAGACCGATTGGAGGTGACTCTTTTGGTGTAGAGAGCACGTGAATTAGGAATGATATCTCTGTACCCAGGACCAAAAGCACAAGCTCTCTATACTTTAATTTCCATGATGAATTTCTTTGTCATGTTCCTGGAAACTCTCCAACATGACTGAGGATTCTAGATTTATGAAGAAAAAAAAAATGGCCAGCAGTTGGAAGATAGAGGCATGCATGGTCTACATAACAAGTTCTAGGCCACCCAGGGCTACATAGTGACACCCAGATAATAGGTTTTCTGCACCCTGATGTTAGGTTTCTCCACCGACACAGTAAGCCAAATTGAGCAGAATTAAAGTAAAGGACCAGGTTTAATCTGAGCAAAGCACTCCTGAGTAATTCTTGGGAAAGGGAATGGGAAATCCCGTGGCTGATCTACAGATGGGGCTTAAATACCCTATAGGTGGCGGTCTTGAGCTTTGGGGGAGGAGCCTGGACTTCTGGTGGTCTTTCTGAGGAGTGGGGCCTAGGCTGAGTTTCAAGGCAGAGTTTCTAGCTGAACACCTATATTTAAAAAAAAAAAGAAAGATGGGGTTGGTGTTGGATTGATGTGTAAAGTAAGAGAACTGCAATCTCTTTCTCATATGTGTGTGTGCATGGGTGTACTGGTGTTCAGTGTACATGATGTACATGTACAGATGTGCATGTGTTTGCGGAGGCCAGAGGTTGATGGCAGATGTCTTCCTGAATTGTTTTCTCCACCTTAATTTTCAGACAGTTTCTTGCTGAATCTGGAGCTTACCAGTTTGGCTAGACTGGCCGGCCAGCAAGCTCCTGGGCTTCTTTTGTCTCTGCCTCCCTAGTGCTGGAGTTTGGGGTACAGGCTGCCATGCCCACCCTTTTACATGGGTTCTGAGATACCCAGCTCAGGTCCTCATTCTTGTGCAGCAAGTGCTTCACAGACTTGGTTCCAGCCTAGAACTGTGATACTTTAAGCAATGAAACATCTAAACTTGAGCTAGAGGGAGGGCTCAGTAGACAAGAGGCTGCTCTTCCAGGGGACCAAGGTTCAGTTCCCAGCACCCAGATGGCAACTCACAACCATCTGTAACTCCAGTTTTGGGGGGATCCAGTGCCTTCTTCTGGCCTCTGTAGGCACCAGGCATACACGTGATACACAGACATATGTGCAAACAAAACACTCATATACATACACATAATATATATATATATATATATATATATATATATATATATATTCACCAAAACTGCACTAAAGAAAAATAAATTATATAATACAAACTTTAAATTGAGCAGCTCTCTTCACTCCTTCCCTCCCTTGCCCCATCCTAACTCTGCCATCTTCTGTTAGTAGCAACACATGAATGGCAAACACCTTGAGCTTTGGGGACTTTCAGACTCCTGGAAACTTCTGAAAGTATTAACAAACTAGAAATTTGAAGATTATCATTTTAGGGTGAAACAGAGAGCTCGTGGGTAACATACAATGTATAAATTCAAGCTAATGCCAGTGTCTATTGCAAAATATCATGTGAACAGTTGGCTTTGTGGCAGGAAGGCAAAGGGAACATCCCCACTTCTCTAACCTGTCATCCTAACGTACATCTTAACCTTACTCTTACGATGTTGAAGAGCTCAATAGCCTCACCTCACCTCTATGAAAGATTGGAACCTAGAGCCTCTGTGCTTGAGGCAGCAACATGATCCAGGATGAGTAGCTTTAGCAATCTATGAACCCAAGAGAAAAGATCTGAAGTCAGTTGCCTCCAATGAACCAGAAAATAAATAAAAGAATAAAAAAAGAAAAGCTCTTGTCTCTTTCCAAAACCTTCTGAATATGACTTTAAATTTCAAAAACCTTTTCTGGGTGACTCCTATGCACAGTAGCATCTGGGAAGGCCTAAAGTAGGGGGAAGAGATTTCACTTGGGTTTGTCCACACTGCATCCTGACACAACTTACCAGTGCCCCTGTGGCACTTTTGAGAGTATAGAAAGTCATTAGTTGCAACATTACCAGATTTAAATGTTCCTAGTATACACAATCTTTTCTCAAGATGTGTGTCATTGACTTTAAAATACTCTTGCCTTACTAGGTCTTTGATGATCACTTGTTCTCCACACTCCATCCCTAGGAGGGATGTTTGGCAATGCCAGGAGATACTTCTGGTTATCGTCATCTGGAAATGGGATACTGGTGGGTGGAAGCTGGAGATGCTGTGGAGCTGCACACTGCACAAAGCGGTCCCCAACAGTTGCTGGCTTAGATATCAATAACAAGGTCGGCAAACCCTTCTGTAGAGGTGGGTGGTTTCTAGGCGACTCCTGGGTGCATGCTGTGAGAAAATAGAGCCATGCACACGAGCAGGCAAAGGAAAACAAACTGGCAGTGGCCAGAGTAATGTTGGGCTCCTGGGGAGGGGGCAGAGAATGGAGAAGCCTACTCCAGGTAAGAGGCAGATAGGACAAGTTGTACCCAGTGTTCTGTACACAATTAGTTTAGGCAGCAGGGCTGGGGTTCAGGGAGTAGATGCCAGTGATTGTTACAGAAGGGCTGGGGGTGGGGTGGGCTGGAAAGATTGAGAGGGGGCAAGCCATAGAGTGGACACTTTATTACCAGCCCAACATTTTGTAAGGCCTGGAAAACAAGAGAGTATGTTGAGCATTAGCAGGGAGCAGCAGGAGGGATTTCAGGTAAATCCACTAAGTAGGGCCACCTCAAAGCCATACCAGTCTCAGAGAAAGACCCGTGGCAGGGTCAGCTGAACGTTCAGCCCCAGTGAGCTTCTTAAATCCCTCTCCATCAAGATCAGGCTTCTGCTGAGTCCACAGTATGGTTGACTTGCAAGAAGGGGTCCAGCGCTCCCAGCTCTGAGAAAGGCAGCCAAGAACCTGGCTACTGCAACACCTCGGGATAAGAGCCCAGAGAGAAATGGAGAGGTCCCCCCAGGTCATTTCCCTCCAACAGGGAAGCTAAGACATTTCAGAAAGATTATCTCCCCTTCAGCTTTAAACTTTGCAGAGAAAGATTTCTCAAGGACCCATGGGTTCCTTAGAATCTAGACAAGTCACCACAGTGTCCCCGTTCCTGATCCCCACATTCCCCCCACCAGAGTGGCTTTCTTTCATCTTTTCCATCACCACCCCCACTACGCCCCAACCCAGCAGCCCCTACCCTTTTGTCCGGTTACAAGGTTACAGAATCCAAGTTCCATTTGCTTGCCGCTCCAAGCATCTCTCATCAACCTTTGCACCCCTTTGGGACCCTCTGGATCCCCTCAGAGTTTTGCCTGCCTGTGTTAGCACCAGCTCGTATTAAATACATCCTGTGTGCAGACTGCCCCTTTGGCTATGGAAAGTGAAGAGAGAAAGGAAAAGAACATTCACAGCTTTGTTGGTGTTTGTTCTGTAATCTTCCTCCAGGGAGTTGTGGATCTTGGCTGAGTTTATAGTCTAGCCGGTACAGTCATCCTTAGGCTAAGTTTCACTGTAACATCTCGACTGTCCTGCAGATTGTTTTCCCTGTGAGCCTCCTCTAAGGACAGAAGAGTTCGCTGTCATCGACAGAGGCTCTGATGTGAATTTCGCTGTAAATAAACCGGAGATCAATGCATTTGCCCAGGCGCTGGAGACAGAACTCCACTGCCTTGTGGGTTTTGATGCAAATGAGCTGCAGAGGGATTTGTTCTGCTGAATTCACTCTACAGCAACTGGATTAATCTCATTTCATATCGTGTCTCTAAGTAGGAAAGTAAACTGATTTTCAGCAGGCTAAATGGTATGTTGATGCTGCCAACATCCATCACATTTATCCTGGCTAAACTGCAACTATAACAGTGCCCTGATTGTTTTCCCTTCCACAAAGCAGTTGCCAAAGTGCACCACTTTAGGATGGGCTTTTTATGACAGATGGAATGTTCTGGAATGAAACAGAAGGCAGATATACCAAACAGATGAACACACCTCTCTGGGCAGATCCTGAGGTCCAGTCCTTGGACCCCTAACATGATTTTTTAAAAATGTTGTTCTGTTTTAGAGTTGAGTGTGACAGTACACATCTGTAATCTCAGCACTTGGGAGGTATAGGCAAGGTGGATCAGGAGTTCAAGGCCAGCCTGAGCTAGCAAGCTCACAGTTAGCCAGGCTACATGTGACATTGTCTCAAAACTAAATCAATCAATCAACCAATCAATCTCTCTCTCTCTCCCTCTCCCTCTCTCCCTCTCTCTGTTCAAGCCCTACTGGTAGCTGAGATGAGCTCTCAGCCTCTCCCCCTCTCCCTCTCTCTGTTCAAGCCCTACTGGTAGCTGAGATGAGCTCTCAGTGTGTGCCTACTATGAACCTGCACTACACTGAAGATTTGCTTTCTGCCTGCATTTGTCCCCTTCTACATCTGTCTGTTCTCAAAGCTACCATCTCAGCCTCCGGGAATCCCCAGTGTCTGTCTGTCTGTATTGGGTCCTCTCCTTCCACTTCTCCTGAATTGTTAGTTTCAACAGGCTCGTGCTTCTAGTGCAACCCAGCTGCTGTGGAAAGTTCTGCTTTCTCTGGTGGGTACGTTTATAACCAGCAGTTGCTGTCAAAGGGAAGAAGAGCTTGTGGGGATGCGTGTGGGATGGCACAGGGCTGTTATATGGAGCAAATGTAATAATGGGTATAAAAAAGTAATTTGTAAACTGCAACATGTTCTCCAAAAGAAATTATGACTGTATTATATGACTTTAGGGTCTAGAAGGCCACTGGATAATATATAAAATTCAGCAGTACAGTCGAAATAGAACATTATAGAATTTGGGACACTGACCTTTCCATCCATAAGCTTCAGGCTTTTCAACTCTTTTTACAGAGAAAGCACATCCATGTAGTTGAGGACACACGCAGTTCTGAGGAACTCGTCTGCTCACTACTCTGGGACAAAGGGCCTCTGCTCTTGCTTGAACTCCCCCAGGACCCCCTCAATGCCTTCCAAAACCTCACCAGCCTTCAAGGGCTAGCCTCAAGCCCTCTTCCCACTCCTCTCCAAGATGGAAGGATTCTGTTTGTCCCGAGGGTCTTGTCAGTCTTATGTTGCAGTTGAGCACATATGTATTACTTCTGATTCAACTGTGAATGGTTGATGGTCACAAAGGTCTTCAATCTACCACAGCCCTTAACCCCCTCCCCTCTGTGCTGCTGTCCCACCCCAAATGGAGGTAACTGATGACAACAGCTCAGATCAGTGAAAGGAGAGAACTGTGCTGACCAAAAGGGTCCTACAAAAGGGTTTGCCCCTAAGAGTTGGTCCATTTGTCCTGGATTTGGAAGTCTTGACATTTATCCACCTCTGAAACAAGCAGGGTATCTGCAATAGAGTGATAAAACCCTATGAATCGTGGGGCATAGTGGCTCATGCCCCTAATCCCAGCACTAGAGAGGGTGAGGCAGGCCAATCCAGGCTACACAGAAAGACTATTTCAAAAGCAAGATCTAGCTATATGTGGTAGTGTTCACACCTGTAATCGTAGCATTTAAGACACAGAGACTTAAAGATTTTGGCATATAGGGTCAACCTGAGCTGCACAGTGAGTTCCAAGCCAGCTTAGGCTATATAGCAAGATCCTGTCTGAAAAACAATAAATACTATAAACATGAAAGTTAACCTTTGTGCTTGTCTGTACATTTTTTATTTTTGCACTGAGCATAAGAAGACCATATCAGATCTAAAAGTTAAAGCTGTACATGTTGTAACTTGATTTTCAGCTTAAAAGTTCCCCAAATTTGAATCTTGAGTGTCATCCTTTGCCTCCCAGCTTGGCTGTGGTTTTTCTAACTGAACGTTTCACCCCATGGGATCATGGGCTCTGAGGCTGCACTGCTTTCCTACTGAAAGGAACTGGTACAGAATGTGGGGGGGGGAAGCACATTACTTTTTTAGCACATTAAAAAATTCCTGGTGCTAGAGAAATGGCTCAATAGTTTAAAATGGACTGCTCTTTCAGAGGATACAAGTTCAGTTCCCAAAACCCATATAAGGCATCTCAGAGTCACAAAGTCCAGCTCCAGGGGATCTGACATTTCTCTCTCTCTCTCTCTCTCTCTCTCTCTCTCTCTCTCTCTTCCTCTCTCTCTCTCTCTTTCATGCACACTCATGCATATGCACACACACACCACACACACATACACCTTACCTGGGTGTGACAGCATACCCTTGTAGTCTCAGCACCTGAGAGGCAGAGACAGGAGGATCACAAATCAAGAACAACCTGGACTAAATAACAAGATCCTCTCTCCACCCACACCTGAAAGTAAATCCAGGCGAGCTGGTTATGAGTGTGTAAATGTGTATGTGCAAGTGTAAGGAGAGGCCAGAGGAAGGCAGTGAGTATCTTCCTCAATTGCTCTCCACCTTATGTTTGAGGCAGTCCCTCACTAAGCCTGGCACTAGCAGATTGGGCTAGCCTGACTGGCCAGTAAGCCACAGGAGCCTCCTGTTGTTCCACCTCCCCAGCAGGTGGATTACAGGCACACCTGGATTTAACTTGGGTACTGAGCATTTGTGTAGCAAGAGCTTTAGGGACTAAGCCATCTCCCCACTCCCTGTTTTGTTATTTTAATGCATTGATAAAGCAGATGTTTTACTTTGGCCAAGTGACTTTTTAAGGAATCCTCTTTTAAAAGGTTAACTGTAGAGCGACTGCCAAGTACATGCCATGCGCTCAATACGTGTACTCCCCAAACAAAGGGTAACTTCAGTTATTTAAAACAGCCATCAACGTGAATGACTTCTGATTGCTTCTCTTTTGCTGCACATTAGAAATCATTTTCAGAAATGGAAAGTTGGATAAAAGATCCAGGAGTATTATAGTACCAGCATTGTAGAGCACAGATTGTGATTAGGTTGCTAGTGATGGGGAGGGAGCACACTCATGAGAGGGATTTATTGTTATACGGGATTAGAGATGTGCTGCTACTGTAATAAAGGATTGGCCCAGAGCCCTCAGCCCAAGCCAACCTCTGATGCACGGCTCCTGCCCCATCAGCAGCATCCCCAGCCCTCAGTAATTCCATGTAATACAGTCCTGGCACATACCCCTAACCTCAAACCCCAGCCAATTTTCCTAACAACACACCTTCTCCCTATCACCTGTCAGCAGCTTCTTGTTCTCCAATGCTCCCCCAAATTCCTCAAATCAGGGAGCTCTCAGTGTGTTAAAAAGGGAAATGGAGAATTACCTAGTTCTATCAGTATTTTCCATGTCTTTGTCGACTTGAATCAAAACTCTTGAACAAAAACCACTGGAACTTGCTCCTGAGATAGGCTATTTTTTTTCCCTCCGTGTTCCAACTGTTCACCTCTAGATGTGTTTGGAGCTGTTCTTGCCCTAGATAGTCTAAGCTATCATCGGCATTACCGTGCAGCCGTAGAGCTCACCTCCTGGGGTGGGATCTCATGGGATGCCACAAACCAAGCAGAACTGTGAAGGCTCTGCCCAAAAAGGAACAGAAAAATTCAAGGAACACCCTTGGCCTTAAGGGAGAAGTTCAGAAGGGTAGGTTGTTCGTGTCTCTGCTCCTCCCATGCTCATGGGTTTGATGCATATGAGGGATTCAGACATAGAGGGGTTTGTGGTTCTCTTCAAAACTGAAAGCAATTCTGTTTACTCAGAATTTGTGTATGTGGCATGACTGCTGTCCCAGCTCTAGGAAACCAAACCTCAATAATACCCTTTTTGTCTCGGGCTCCCACAGCATTTTAAGATGGCCATTTATCCACACAACAACAAATTCCACAAAGAATGAATATTCTCTAGGAGGCAGTTAACAAATAAGGGGGAACTAGGGTCCAGGAGAGGTACTATACATCACTCATGGGTTTTTCAGCCTTCCTTGACCAGTCCACATCTCTTAAACCACTGTCTATGAGAGAATTTTCTCCCACTGGTGCTGGGAACTAAAATTAGGGCCTCACATATGCTAGCAAGCATACTACCACTGAGATATTCATTATGTATTCCCAGCCCACCCCCACTTTTTTTGAGTCAGGGTTTCTCTGTGTAGCCCTGGCTGTCTTGGAACTTGTTCTGTAGACCAGGCTGTCCTGGAACTCAGAGATCCACCTGCCTCTGCCT